AAATCATTGTACGATGTTTATGGTTTTTTTCTAAACTGAGAGCAGTCAGTGGCAATACCGGAATTTGTCGAAGTTTAGCATAGATGTTAAGAGGCCGCGCGGGTTGAAGACCAGGGTATATCAAAATGGGCCGCACTTCTTCATCGGTAAACCGTATCCAGAAATAAAAGTTCAGCCCGTTTTTATTTAGCCCTTCTCGAGCTGAGTCACGAGCGGTGCCAGCCCGCGCTAGCTCGCAGCCGAGATAGGCGCGGTACCAGTACGCGCCAACCTGGACCGCGTCATGCCTCGACTCCGGACGGTCCGCGGAGTCTCCGAACGCTTTCCGTCCGGTGCCCCCGATCACTGGCCGGCTGACGCATGACCCGCCGGCCGACGAGCCCTGGCCGAACCCGCACAGGCTACCCGGCCACGGCCCCGTGCATTGCCGGCCCAGCCCGAGCCACCGCCGCCCGCCGCTCCCGTCCCTGGCCCTCTGACGTCATAAAGCTCGCCGCACGGACGCAGGCGCGCTGCGAAAGATATGCGCCGGCGACCGTCTGAGTCATGTCGCCGGCCGGACGCCATTATTACGGGGATGGGTGGGAGTGACGCGCGTGGCCACCGCTTGCGATGGTGGCCATTGGCTACTAGGTAGTTTTTGCATTGCTATTTGTAAAAAAAGAACAGCGCATGGATGGACCAATTGATATGTCGGTGGCTAGAAATTGGTAAACGTTTCAGACACGACTTAATTGTTGTCATGGTATTTGAAATATGTACACATGTCGTACCTTCGCGCAGGGCCTCAATATAGATCAAGAGCATTAACAGAAAATGGTGTGAAACCAGTGATATTTGCCTGAAGAGTGGTCATGCCTCACGCTGTACCGCGGTAAGAATATCCTGTTAGGGGATAAATTTTTTTGTCCGGTTCTCTATCTTGGGAAATCGCCCGCCAGTTCCATAGCGTGCGCAGCACTAAAAAAAAACTTCCGTTTCAAACGCTGCTGATGCTCCTCGTTCTCTGACGTAGGCATGCCAACGAGCTTTCGTTGACCACCATTGGCGAACGGTTTGTCCGAGAGTTCTGCCGCGCGGCCGCCGCAGTTGGAGAGTTTGCCCGAGAGTTCTGCCGCGCGGCCGCTGCAGTCGGAGAGTTTGCCCGATGGCCCTGCCGCGTGGCCGCCGCAGTTGGAGAGTTTGCCCGAGAGTTCCGCCGCGCGGCCGCTGCAGTCGGAGAGTGCTCGAGAGTTCCGCCGCGCGGCTGCCGCAGTCGGACAGTTTGCTCGAGAGTTCCGCCGCGCGGCCGCCGCAGTCGGAGAGTTTGCCCGAGAGTTCCGCCGCGCGGCCGCTGCAGTCGGAGAGTGCTCGAGAGTTCCGCCGCGCGGCTGCCGCAGTCGGACAGTTTGCTCGAGAGTTCCGCCGCCTCCCGGCCGCCGCAGTCGGAGAGTTTGCCTCGAGAGTTCCGCCGCGCGGCCGCTTGCAGTTGGAGATGTGCTCGAGAGTTCCGGCCGCGCGTCCGCCGCAGTTGGAGAGTTTCAACTGAGGAGTTTGCCGCGCGGCCGCTGCAGTCGGAGAGTGCTCGAGAGTTACGGCCGCGCGGCCGCCGCAGTCGGAGAGTTTGCCCGAGGAGTTCAGACGGCTGCCGACTGAAGTCGGAGGAGTGCTCGAGAGTTCCGCCGAGCGGCCGCCGCAGTTGGAGAGTTTGCCGATATTTCTGCCGCGCGGCCGCTGCGTCGGAGAGTTTGCCCGATGTACATGCAGCGTGGCCGCCGCAGTGGAGAGCTTTGCCCCGAAGAGAGAGTTCCGCCGCGCGGCCCGCTGCAGTCGGAGAGCGTGCTCGATAGTTCCGCAGCCGCGCGGCTGCCGCAGTCGGACAGTGCTCGATGAGTTCCGCCGCGCGGCCGCCGCAGTCGGAGAGTTTGCCCGACAGTCCTGCCCGTGGCCGCCGCGGTCCGAAAGCGCAGCGATGTGGCAAGCTGATGTCTGAGTTTCCAGAGGCAATACTGGTGTGTTCTGTTGAGCGACTTTTCGGCTTTCACACCGTTTTGTACAGGTGATTACGAAAAACGTCCGAAGGAATTTCGGAGGGCAGCACGATGTCGTCTTAGGGAGCGGTGGAGTTGATAGGCCGGTTGGATATTTGGCCTCGTCGTTTTCACAGTGGATACCTGCTGCAGATGTGCCGACAGGGTGGATGGGCTGGCAAAGTGGATAAAGCTGGTCGAGTGGACAGGTCCGGTATTGGATGGGATTATTGAATGCATTGCGTTGCAAAATAAACAGCTAGTGGGATTGGTTGGTGGTGGAGTTGGGAAGGCTGTTATAGATTGTTCGGTAACCAGATGGGCGGGTAAAGCATTTTACCAATCTCAGGGCCTAACCGTTGTTTTACGGTTATTTTGTGTGCGGATTTTTTTCGGGGGGGGGGGGGGGCATTTGCCCACGGAGGCAAATGCAGGGTATCAATGAAACCATTACGCAATGTGTTCCTGGCTGCGCAATGCGGGTGTATTTCGGTTGCCATTGTTTTGCAGTTGGCCTCATGTTCAACGTATAGAGGCCCAGCGTACGGGCCAATGGGACCGACCAATCAAACATTGCTCTGCTTTACGGTACGTTATCCATATATATGCTCATGCCTATATATGGATATGGGCATGAACATATGCATCGGCAGGAGATATGCACGTGTTTCACACAATAGTATATGTACTATATTCATGAGGTAATTCGCTACTTCCGTGCCTTCTTTCCCATCTGCCAGCCTGCATTGGACCTCTTCAACTGTGTTGGCCCCTGCGCTGACGAAGAACTTCAGCTTCTGCTTGTTACGTGCCGTTTTCATCGCTCTCTTGTCCGACGTGAGGGCGGGACTACAGCCGATGGCGCGGCCGCGGCTCAGTCCTGAGGCCCGATGGCGGGGCCGCGGTTCGGTCCTGACGCCCGATGGCAGGACCGCGGCCCGGCCGCGAGGCCCGATGGCGATGACTTAATGACTTAACATCGACGAAAGCCAATGCCACTGCAGTGACTTAACGTGGACGATTGCCAGCGTGCCTATTGGACTTCCTGGATCAGACCATATTTCACGGCGTCATGGCATCGCTCTATCGTTCTGAGTCGACAGTGATTTGGACCACGATCAAACGCATGAGCCAGCAGCACTAATCGTCTCGCACTGCACCGGCGTTCCTTGCTCCGGGCTTGATCTCCGCATTGCAGTCAGAGCGTTTCTGATGCGGACTTTGGTGGTGCGTATGTATGCACATGTATGTGGGTTGGTTGGCAGTGCGGTCGTCGATGTCATGATCATGTTTCTCGAGGACTTTGACCAACTCATCTAATCCATTACGTTTCAAAACTGGTCGTCATGCTCGTTAGGCATCTTCTGCTTGCCATTGGTATGGTTTCGGTAAACGATCGCCAAATGGGTTATGGGCCGGGTAAAATGGTTACGCATAACATCGAAGTAAGCAAAAAAAGTTTCACACCGTTTTCACATGTTTTTCTCGAAACGTTGATAGTTGGGCCAATGGCGAAAGGGGGGGGGAAGGGGGGGGGGAGACTGGAGGCCCAGTGGGGTGCTGACTGATACCGGAGGCGGAGCGTAGCACCCCGCCATGGTCTGTGTCACCCGGGGCCGGGCCGACTGTCTTACGCGGAGTCCCGTCGTCTGGAGGCGGGGGACGCTTCCTCCCGTTCGGGCGGCTCGGGATCCAGGGCCTTCCACCGTCCGGGCCGCTTGGATTCCAGGATCTTCCTCCGTCCGGGCGGCTCGGGTTCAAGGGCCTTCCTCCTTCCGGCGGCTCGGATTCCAGAGCTTTCCTCCCTTCCGGGCGGCTGGGATTCCAAAGCTTTCCTCCAGTCCGGGCGGCTCGGGGTCCAGGGCCTTCCACCGTCCGGGCGGCTTGGGTTCCAGGATCTTCCTCCGTCCGGGCGGCTCGGGTTCTAGGGCCTTCCTCCTTCCGGCGGCTCGGATTCCAGAGCTTTCCTCCCTCCGGGCGGCTGGGATTCCAGACCTTTCCTCCGTCTGGGCGGCTCGGGATCCAGGGCCTTCCTCCGCCCGGGCGGCTCGGATTCCAGAGCTTTCCTCCGTCTGGGCGGCTCGGATTCCAGAGCTTTCCTCCGTCTGGGCGACTCGGGGTCCAGGGCCTTCCTCCGTCCGGGCGGCTCGGGATCCAGGGCCTTCCTCCGTCCGGGCGGCTCGGATTCCAGACCTTTCCTCCGTCTGGGCGGCTCGGGATCCAGGGCCTTCCTCCGCCCGGGCGGCACGGATTCCAGAGCTTTCCTCCGTCTGGTCGGCTCGGATTCCAGAGCTTTCCTCCGTCTGGGCGGCTCGGGGTCCAGGGCCTTCCTCCGCCCGGGCGGCCCGGGGTCCAGAGCAGCGCTACACGGAAGGACTTCCGGCACCGCGTCATGCTTGCAGCAGCTGATTACACGAATGGAGCGGCACCACTTGCCTGCATAGCGTGGTCGCATATGATCAACATATGCTCATGACAGCCCCCCACACATTCATGTCACCCCAAACGCGCATACGCCCGGACGTTTGATGTTAATATTGCATCAGTTACGGGCTATGAATTTGGATCGTCTTGAAGCATCAGAATACAGCTGCGCAAACAAAACAGCTAGCTAGATAAACAGAACTGAATTCAAGACTGGGACGTTCCGCTTAGTGCACGGAGAATGCGAGCATGCATGATGCAGTCAGCGACGTAAAATGCTCGCCGCGTCTGTGACGGGTGCTCCGAGTTTGCTCAAGCTGTCTGTAGCTGAGGGCTGCTGACAGGTGCTGCTGCTTGTCAGCACCAGTGAGTCTTGCGGTGGAAGGCGGCGCTCGCACCTTCGGCGCTTCGTGGCAGTGCCGCAGCTCACCGCCCTGGGTCGGTGGCGCACAGGTTTGGACTGACGAGACAGTGCCCCCGACCCTCTTGTGGCCGGTTCGCTCCGGTCTGGGTGCGGCTGCCGCAAAGGTCGGCCTGTTCTGCCAACTGATGTCGCGTCCTTTTCAGAGTCTGGGCGTCCGGTGACCGAGCCGGCATGGGTGGCTGCCTGTCGAAGGATTTGAAAGTTGAAGCTCAGGACATCGGTGTCATGGGTCAGACCAACTCTCAAAGTAAGGCACAGGCGATCGGCCGCACCGCACCGCGTGCTCTGACTGCTTAAAGTGGGCCCGCAAGCGGTTGTCATGGTGAAGGCCGTTGTTAGGATGGTGTTTGTATTGCGGCGCGCAACGATAATTTTTGTAAGAGGACTGCAGAACTTTGAGGGGATTTCATGTGCTTTTTTGGGCGCCATTTAAAAGTGCCTGTCTGGGTGTCGGGTGGGGGGGGGGGGGGGTCTGGCAGCACCTCAATGTGCAACCATCGCTCTCCAGTGTCTGGTGTAATATATATAGATATGGCATCAACTTCGGTGTTGCTACCCTATGACATATTTTTTGCCTGACGAGGAATCTTGCTGAAATGATAACAAAAATTGCCGCAAGATGCACTTTTACATCAACTATCACTAACGGCAACACAGACGACGTTCGATTTGCATGGAATTCATCCCTACGTATGCAAAGAGGTAACTCTACTGTACTACTCAGGCATTCGGTGTGGTCATGAGAACATGACTGGGAACACGTAAATTTCCAAAATATCGGAAAGTTAGCCGACATTGCGAATTCGTGCCTTTTTTACTTCCGCTGCTAAATGTTCGAGGGGTTCCTCTGTGTAAAGCACGACGCAGGCGCTTCTAATAGTGAAATTATTGTGATTCATGATTTAAGTTACTGGTTGTAACCCGATTAATGACAGTAGTTTTGATTATAACGGGGTCATCTTCTGCCCTGCTTGGCAAATCTCCAATCAAACCCGTCCTCGACCTAGTATTGGCCATGAATAAAACATAAGCGCAACATGCGCGGCCGGCGCCACGTGTTCTGAGTTGGGGGGCAGGATTTTTCAGGGGGCCTCCTGGACGAAATGAGGCCCACTCACAGGATGTCCTCCTGTGCAGCATCGTTTTCAGCAGGGAGTGGCGCCGAGAGCATGTATCCCTTATTATACTGTTGCATGTATCATATCCAAGTGAATAAATGCCGAAAGTTAAAAAGAAAGATTGTGGGCATTCAGTCATCCAGCGAAGGGCCTTGATTTCTCAAAACAGGGGCTCCTGTTCCCGAAAATGGCCTCATACTGGATGGAGGAGCCTTCCCATCTAGAGCAACATGCTTACGATCCACGAAAGCCAAATCTAGCCAATGGGCTTCGCTATCCCAAAACAAGATATGTTGATCACGAAATGATGTCTCCTAAATATAGAGGGTGCCTCCTAACCCAGAACAGCGGCTGCCTAGTTTGTAGCGGGGGCCTTCCGATCTAGCAAATGAGTCTTCTTAACATAACGTTAGGCCTCCCCATGCAGTTCATCGGCGGTATTACTCATAACATTAGGCCTCCTGATGTAGTTCATCGGCGGTATTACTCATAAAAGTGACTTCAGGACCCAGATAGCGAGTCTCTTGATGCAGCAAAGGGTCTTCTGAGCCGGATTCCCTAATCTCTTGTTCATTTATGAGGGGGGGGGGGGCTCCTTCATTTGCATTTTAGTAGAGTGTGGGCACTATGCCTTTAGTTGGGCAAAAAGGGGCCTCCTGAAAATTGGGGGTGCAAAAGCATGCTCTTATCCCCCTTCCTGGCAAGGAAGGGCAACTGCCCCCTCTGCCCCCCCTCCCCCCTGCTGTGCAGTCCTTGCATACATGACCAGACGCGAATTGCATGTATTGCCGAATAGGTGTTGTTTGACATATTTCCAGTCGGTCCCAGTTAATTTTTACTGGTGGATTTCTTCTTACGTTCATTTTTGACAGACGCCTATGCAATTTTCCGATACAGTTGGTCGAACCAACGAGTTATCAATAATCCGGGGTTTGCACAGTTGAGAGGAGTTCTGATGTTCACATCAGCAAAATCCATAACTGGCGGACTGGAATGAATGTATTATTCAGGGATTTCTACAATACGTTGGAAGTTATTGTGTATGTATGTAGCACTACGGACGGTCGTACCATTTATTCGCATGTATCCATTCGATACCTAAACCAATGATCACTCGCACGCTTGGCGCTCTTCAGGAACAATCGATACATCTCGTGTCGGGATGCCATCGCACCAGTCATTAGTCATCAGTCAGTCAGCAGTCACAGTCATCAGTCATTTCGTTTTCGATCGGCGAGCGGTGTTCAGGGATCGGCATCGGGTACAGCTTTGAAGTTTAATTGTGGCGCTCTGTCTGGCATGATGTTGAACTCTCAGAAGCGGGGCTTCCGTGTTCAGGGTTTGTTTCCATTGTGCATGCCCAACATGCCTTCAGCAACTGGTCATGGTTCCCCAGGAGGGTGGCAAATATTCTATGTGTAGCTACTGTATGTGTAACAAACATGAAAATCCAATAAAATCATCATCAAACAGTGTGCTTCGTGCCCCTCTGCCAGCCGCCTTCCGTTAGTCACACAGAATTAACCGGCTGTATTCGCCGGGCCCGCCGGCTGAATGACTCACCCTCGGTCGGGCGGCGCGCCGCTCTGTCAGCCAGCCGCCCGGTGAATATGTGCAGCCACTAAACGCCCCCCCCCCCCCCTTCAAGCCCAGGCATGGGGCAAACAGATTCACCAAATGCCTTCTGTTCCGGCGGAACCTAAACTATGCATGTCATCAGTAAGTCGATTCGATATTTTGTCTTTTCTGTAGTGGTCACTTAGAGTGACACCAGGCGCGTAAGATTTGATCAGCAATGCCATTTTTCTCGGAAGTCCTGAGGAGCTCAGAATTTTTATTTGAAGCAGCCAACCCTGCGGAGCAATCTTATTTGTCTCTCTGCCCATCAATATGAAAGTAATGCATTTCATTCGCCTTGATTTTTTTGCGTTTGCGCTCTGTAATGTTTGACACACGATAATGTGTAAAAATCTGTGTGCAATGAATGTTACGCAAGCTTGAAACACTCTGTGTAGACAAAAAGACATGCGAACACGAAGCTTTTACCCCGCAAATTGAGCGTGTCGTTATCTAGCACGTCTTTGATTTCTCCGCTATGGCGTTTTCGATGCGCACTTTGGCTTTGGGAATGAGAGTATCACATGATCGATGCAACGCACTGTTTCAAATTTCAAACAGCCAACTTTTCAGTAACAGGCTGGTGCCCGCTGGGCCAATCACTAACGTTCTTTTATTCACGCCAGGGGCGGTGCGCACGGTGGTTGTCATGACGACGGTGGTCGTGACTACAAGGAAGAAGCGCTATGCTATTGAAAAACGTTGGCGGCGTAATTTGGTCTCGAAAATGATTAAAATCTATATCCTTAGTATGTCTTGACGGTGCTGCACTGGCACTACCCAGTGGTATTATTATGCTAACTAGTCTTTAGGTTTCACTGGCGTATGTTTTTCAAATAGGCCCCAAAGATGGGACACTCTTTTTAAAGGGAGTGTGTCTAATGTTCTTGGTTTTCTCAATACACTCCTAAGGGGAGTTTGGCAATTATCGATAGTCAATTTTGGTTGCTAAATGTGCATTTGGGTCCTGCAGCAGTTTTGATTTACTTATTTTTATCGATCCTATCGATAGCTGTGCGTGAACAAATGCAATCCTAAAAGATAAACCAATCAGCTGGCAGGAAAGGATGAATGCACCGGCTTGTCTGTGGCGAGTAACTGCGCCCTAGAGACGTGGCCATTATTGTGGTTGGTAAACAACGTAGAAGAATCGCATTTCCCTAGAGCCTGGTGCGGCCGATTGACACGACGCAATCCTTGTTCCTCATCTCAGCATATAGTAGGCCGACAAGAATTGGTGCGTATCAGCTGACCAGCCTTACCACACGTCTAAACCCGTACACTCGCAGGCCTGAGCTGAATGCAAACAAAAAAGTCAGCATAATGGCCACCGATGTCGCCGCGTTCGCAAGCTGCTGTCAGTGCTGACAAGCGACATCTTCGAAAAGCCTTTGGCTAGAGCCAGTGATGCCTTCTCAATGATGCCGATGGTGATTAGTGGTATGATGGTAATAGATGGTAATAGATGGTAATAATTAGTGAATATTGCTTGTGGTCTACCCGATAAATTGGTTCTTCCATACAAAGGGAAGAGAATTTGGGGCTGCAGCAATATCTCTTCAGTGGAGGCGAATTTGTAGCAACCAATGACACCAAAATTTGTAAATCGAAATCCCCTACCATTGTACGTGCACAGTCAAAAATCCTTACTTGACTAGATACGCTCCCTTTAAAAGTAATCCGCGGTGCCTCAGGAGCCGTTTGTTGCATTGTACAGTTCCGGAATCGCAGGACGATCATTAGTGGTTTAGCAGCCAATCGTACATTGTCTCACTCACTTCCCGTTGGCTATTAATCACATAATTTCTGTGTCACGCAATCGTGACTCGTTTCGGATTGGAGCTAGTATACAAGGCCAAGCGTTTGTTACTATGCATGTTCATACTCTTATAGACTCGAAGACGCAAGGCTGCTTTGTGTTGTACACATGGACATTGTGGTGTTGAGTAAGCGTTGGTGAGTGTGAGGTGCTGGATAAGAGACAATATCTACACGAACCTGACACGTGAGATGGACTAGCATGAGGCAGGCCGTCTCTAGTCCATCACGCTAGCAGTTAGAAATCTGCTTCAGTTTGCTGTGGACCAAGTTAAATTGGGAAATTATATCGTGTCTTACATGAAGGGGTTCTTGGGAGAAGTTCCGAAAGGTAGCCTGTCATCCAGCAATGGACCAGGATAGGCCTTGTTTGGTTTGGGGTGCCCAGTTACCTAGGTTTTCAGTACCCCTCTATCTGGACTCAGGGCACGCCGCTATATCCTCTTGGTGCGCTTTACCTACGCGCGTCGGTGTCTCTGCTCGGATTGCAGCGTACACGTCTACTCATGCCTTTGTTACCCATCCATGTAGGTTTGTGAGCATCTCATGTCATAGATTCAGGGGTCTAGCCCTGCTAGGGCATGGATAACTTGAGGCGCTTGGGCTTGGGCTTGGGTTCTCTCGCGGACTTTGGGCGCCCCTCTGCTTCTGTCCGGGCGCCCCGTTGCTGAGTGCATTTGGACGTCTCTTTACC